GAGAGAGAGAGAGCGAGTAGCGTAGTGGTTAGAAATCGGCCTGTTCTCCTCAGGGTCAGCAGTTCAAATCTACCAGCTGTTCCACGGGAGAAAGATGAGGCTTTCTGCTCCTGTAAAGATTTGCAGCCTCAGACACCCTGTACAGGGTCGCTTTGAGTCGGAACCGACTCCACAGCACATAACAACAACAAATAGAGAGTGTGTGAGTCCTTGTGTAGCACTGTGAGATAAGGCACTGCACCACAAGGTTGATTTGAATGAACCACAAGGTCGGCAGTTCAAACTTACCAGCTACTCCCCAGAAACCCCATACAAGGTAGCTATGAGCCCGAACCAACTCAACAACACTTAACAACAACAATATATATAGAATATAAATTTTAGTGCTCAAGCAGATGACCTAAAGCTGTTTAGGGTTGTGATCCAAGACTCCCTGACTGACAATGATTTAGAAATAAAATAGAAGCAAGTCAGGGATGGGAGTGGAGAGACTGAAAGATGGAAAGCTGAAGGGAGGTAGGCAGTTATTTGCGTCCATAGGGTTGACAAGCCTTAAAAATCCAGTAACCATCCCAGCTGTTTGCTCCAGTTCAAGCCTGAGCCCACCTGTAAGGACTGCTCAGGTCTTCCTTTCTCCAGAACTTTTCAAGGCTTGATCATCTGTGAAGTACAAAAATCTTAAGCCTTTTTCCTAATGAGTGTTCTTCTTATGGAGTCCTGGTATGAGCGTTGTAGGATAAGCACTCAACTACAAGGTCAGTTTGAACTGCAAGGTCGGTAGTTCAAACTCACCAGCCTCTCCTTGGAAAACCTATACAAGGTCACTATGAGTTGGCACCGACTCGACTTCACTTAACAACGACAACATTCTTGTACTGAAATAGTTAAAGGCCACTATCTTTTCATTAATTAAAAGAAACCATATAGCAAACACCCATCTTAATCATCCTTCCCACCCCTCATAACAAAATAACTGTTATGTAAAGAATCTAGAAAACTTAAAATCAAAAGCAATGACCAATATTCAGTTTAGATGAGAATAACTATTACATGCATTTTGAAGACAACATGACACTCATCATTAATAAACCGTCCTCCATTCAGTATTAGTTCTTCACACATCCATGGGCTTAGCAGAAAGCAGACTTGAGTTCTGAAGACACTAGTAAATCTCTAAGTGATGATCTGACATTTTCCAGTAGATTCTCTTATTTTCATGGTCACTTTGAAGGTAACAGAACTGTATGGGGATATCTGATTCCTAAAGTTCCTGAAATAACCTGCATATTCTTTTATATTAAGCATATGTTTTCTTTTGTTTTGTGTGTTTTTGAAATAGCATGTGAGGGGAGTTATCGCTGTTCCTCGTTTTGAGTGACATTTTCTGCTTCATTTTCATTCTCAACACCAATAGGATATAGTGCTCTTCCTAAAAGAAACTGTCTCCATTTGGGAAGATATTCTTCTACTGATGCCCAGTAATGAACCTGGGGGGGAAATAAAAGAAGAAACTGAAAAAGCGTATCAAGCAACTGAACCTGGCTCTTCGTAACAGTTGGCATGTTTATTCACTTAAGTGTATAATATACATGCATGTATACATGCACACACGCAGGCACATATATAAGTAGAATACACTTCCTCTACAGAACACTTTATGTTAATTTTAGAAAAAAATATGGCTACTTACTAGTGTTAATTTTCAAGTTTCTCAGTAAAACCAGAAGCTGGCAGAATTACAAGTTTGGGGATTTTATTGTGATTTAATACGCCCTCTTGTGGCCATCTTCATGATTACTGCCAGGAGTAAAATTTGTGGCTGTTGGGTGCAGTCGAGTAGGTTTTGACTCACAGCCACCCTATATAGGGTTTTTGAAGACTGGCTGGTGGGTCTGAACTGCTAAACTTGCAGTTCAAACCAACTTGCGGTCCCGTGCTTATCCTACAGCGCCACACCAGGATTCCCCATTTGTGGCTAGACAATAATTGCATGTTTTTGTTTAGTGTTCCAAATCCTATACCAAATGATTACCCATACTGCAAATATTATAGTGAAATGATTAAACATGAACACATGTTTCAGAATTTAGCATAAAATGATTTTGCCTGGAATAAGATGAAGAACAGATCTAGTTAGACTGTAGCTAGTATGTTACAATATTGGATTCAGGTGAACTGGTACCCTACTCCTATGTGGGGAAAATATTAAAAACAGGTATCCACTATATTTTTCAAAAGAACATCTGGTATGACAAAGCAAATTTTTCCCTGATTTTGTTTTATGATAATTTAATACAGTAAAGTCTGTGAAAGTTGGAACCTGTGTAAGGTAGAAACCTGTCAGAGAAGATTATTTTCCACTAAAATGAATGACAGAAATGTAGTAAGTTTGTTACCCTGTGAAAGGTGGGACACTTGTGAGATCTGGAAAAACAAGGTCGTCCCATTGAGTTCCGGCTCTCATAGGTTTCACTATGTCAGTATCATTCAACCACTTTTTAATCCAAACAGTTTGACAAAAGAAATGCTGTATTTCTGGTCTTACAAGAGTAACTTATTGGCTCTAGACACATATGTAGTATTGCAATACCTTGTATACAAACTTTCCTGGTTTCTTGACTTACTGCCCTAAGGATGCCAAATAGAACGTGTCCCAAACAAGTACGCTTTCTATCAGATCATCATTATCCATCTCATTTTTGGAAATTCAGCCCAGGAATTAGATAGCTGTGGTGGGTGCAGAGAAGCTCTGGTAGCAATAGGAACACATAATTATTCCCAATGGGTATTAAAAAGGTACAGAGGTCTGAGGGTGGGAAATGGTGAGGGATTCTAACTATCTGTACAACTATGCACATGATGTGAGAAACAGCTTGACAGACTTAAAATAAAGGTCATCCTGCTGTGCAAGGCTAGCTAAGAAAAATGCCGACTAAGGTCTGTGGTTGGAAGGTTCTCAGCCATTCACGGCTGGATTAACCCCTATTGTGTGAGCCCCTGCACACACATAAGAGTAAGGCATTGGGGAATTCAACAAAGAAAAAAGACTTGTCCAAGGCACAACTTTGTACAAAGTTTTTTCAGTTCTTCATCACTGCTGCCTTTTCTTGTTACTCAAGATGACACAGAAAACTGGGGAGGGCAATTTCTCAGCCTTTAGTTTTGAGAAATTTCAGAAAGGTCATTAAAAATATAATCTCAAACTATTCTATATGTACTCATTTCACATTCATCACAAACACATTGATATACCAATATGTTTTATTTTCCCAAGTATCCTCCCAATCTGTTTCAAGTGAACAAAATAAAACAGATAAAAGCCACACTGCATTATAGAAAACCCCAAGCCAAACCCACTGCCATCTCCATGTGGTTCCCGAGAATGTATGTCTGTCTTTACGGGAGCAGAAAATCTCATCGTTCTCCCGAAGAGCGGCTGACGGGTTTGAACTGCCAAACTTGTGGTATGTGGTTATCAGTCCAGTGTTCATTCTATACTATTCTATGGTAGTATACTCCTTATACCACTGTGTGACAATCTGCACTTAAATGGCTTTGGAGTAAGTTTTATTGAAGGAACTGAACTGCCGTCAGGATATAAGCACTTGTGCCGTCAGCCTAAGATTTAGTGCATCTTGTCTGTTACGGTTTATCAGGATACCTGCTTCCAACTGAGGAGGTGAGAAGACACAGGAGCTTTAGAAATTTTGCACTTGATAAAAAAAAATCAGTTTAAATCAAATAGTTATCATGTACCCACTCTACATAAAGCATGGCATTGTGGGTATATAAAGATCCATCACACACAGCCTATCTGAGTAGATAGATAAGTGTGGGAAACATACACATGTTGTTGTCTTGTGTTGTCAAGTATGTTACAATATTGGCGACCCACATGTACAGGGTTTCCGAGGGTGTAAATCTTTACGGAAGTAGAAAGCCTCATCTTTCTCCCGCGGAGCGGCTGGTAGTTTCGAACCGCTGGCCTTAAGGTTCGCAGCCCGATTCGTAACCACTACGCTACCAGAGCTCCTTTAAATACAGTATAACAAACACAAAAGCACTTAACAACAAGACTGATAGGGTCTCTCTGTTGTTATTTTGCTTAAGATTCTCACCTCAAGAGAAACTACTTCAGGCCGTGGACGTGAGTGCATCCTGGTCTGAAAAGACTTTTCTGCTGCTTCTAGATCCTGTAACAGATACCAGCTTTTAAAAACAACGTATATTTATATAAACTACAGATATCACCCATACTAGCAATGTCTATATCCCCAGGCTCCCACATTCACTCTTCTATGGATACACAGCATGAGGACACTGAGATAGGAGAACAGTTATCCCAGTTTCAAAGTGGAAGGTCCAGGGATTATTATTTTAAAGTAGATGGGGGGGGTGGGGGGTGGGGGGAAGGGAGGCTGCTTTTAAGTGCTGTCTTTTCACTTTAAATAGCTAGTGGTGGAGGTTGCGTGCAACCGAGCCAGTTCCGACTCATAGAGATCCTATATTGTTGTTGTTGTTGTTAAGTGCCTTCGAGTCGGTTCCGACCCATAGCGACCCTGTACAGGGTTTCCGAGGGTGTAAATCCTTACGGGAGTAGAAAGCCTCATCTTTCTCCCGCGGAGCAGCTGGTATATAGCATAGATCATCATGGGAGCAGAAAGCCTCATTTTTCTCCAAAGGAGCAACTGGTAGATTTGAATGACAGACCTTGCAGTTAACAACCCAGCTCACATTCCACCAGAGCTCCTTTAATAGCTAGTAAATGCCAGTAATTCTTGCAAAAGGGGTTTCCTCGAAAACTGCTCAGAACATTAATTTAGTTCTGAAATCACCTGGAAAAGTGGATAAAGTAGTCAAATGGATAGATAGAAAAGCCAAAGAATCAGGTATTAAAGAGTCAGACACTCAGATTCCCACTGTGCTAAAAGTGAACAGTCTAGTCTTCCCAGATTGCATAAATGGCATGTCAATAGCATAGTTACATTTATTCAAACTTCCATTCTTCAAATGTTACACTGAAGCAGAATTTCCACAATTGAAAAAAAAAAAAAATTGAATGGGGTCCGGTCCCTCAGTCCTTGACAAGAACCTTTCCACTAGATAGTTGATATTTTTACAGCTAGATTTCTAAGACAATTCCAACTGCAAATGTTATTACCAGGGAGTCCATCATTCAAGGAATCCTGGTAGCATAGTAGATTACCCATTGAGCTGCTAATCCAAAGGTCAGCAGTTGGGATCTGTCAGCTGTTCTGTGGGAGAACGATGAGGCTTCCTACTCTAGTAGGAAACCCTATAGGGTGGCTCTGAGTCAGAAGTGACTCAATGGCACGCAGCAGTATTTTCAGAGGATGGAGTTCAGTTACAGCAAACGCTAGGCTTTTATTTGTAGTTTAACTTTACCCACCCACTGCCATCAAGTTGATTCCAACTCACAGTGACCCTAAACACGGTTAGATTGTGTGTATTTTCTCTTTTGGTGAAAAAAAAATCCAAGGGTAACTTAATGCATACGCCCCCAAATGTAGGGTTCTGGCAAGTTGTTACTAAAGCATCTGTGCCCTGTTTCAGAAATGCTCCCCTAAATCACCTATGTTGTGTCTACTGATCATATCTGCCAAGTTCACAGAGACCTTGGGTAAAGGTTGGGTAAATTGTCTCTCCTTTGAGCTCAGTGAGTTGCTAGAAAAGAGAAACTTCTCTGATCCATGTACAAGCATTGGAGCAATCTAAGTCCGGGGCTGTTGGACAGACGGAGGGAGAAGGAAAGGGGCGTGGGAGTGGGGTGTGAAGAAGCCAATGCTGAAGAGGAGAAAAGAGATAGCAGATGGTAGCGGCAGGAGCAGGGAATGGGTGTGAAATGTAAAAGGGAAAAACAGGAAATTCCCTAAAGGGACTCCCCAAAGTTGCACAACCATTAATGCACCTGCTGTCTAGAAGAAGGTGACTTGAAGGGGAGAAACATCAATTTAGGGATAAAAAGCTCATCTATTAGAGTGTCTACCTCCTATCACAAGTGTACAGTAAAGGCACATGCTAAAGAGCTTTTCATGCTGATGCCAAAAAAGATACAGAAACCAAACTGTTCTGTGATTATATTGAGATTTTACAAGGTCCTAGGAAAAAGATTTTTTTTTTTTTTTTACTTCTATAAATCTAAACCAGAACACAAACAATCCAAATGATACCATTTTTCTAAGAATAGTTAAGAAGTTACTGTAAGTAGCAGATCTTGAAGCCACTAGCACTGTAGACAATATTATAAACACTTTTCTTGAAGACCAGAACATATCTCTTATAGAAGAGCAGATTTAAGTAAACACAAGAGCAGATAAAAGTAGGGAATATGTGGCCATAGTTAGAAATCTGTCATCTCCGAAGCATTTCTACAAGGGATTATCACCCCTCTAAGAACTTCTTCCTGAGTTTAAGAGACATTTCACTTTGATTTTTTTTTTTTTTAATCTCTTAACTCCTACTTTTCTTTCTCCTTAGCTGGCTCTTCTTTTCTCTCCCTTCTCCTGAGTGTGGGCTTTCATAAGCTTTGTGACATCTGTCCTCATATTTTCACCTGTTCTCCCTCCAAGAGAGCTATGAACCCATTTTACAGTATTACTATAGGGGAATGGCTATGTTTTTATCATAATCCTTATTTCTCAACCCAACCAAAACTAAACAATGTCTCCTGATTTATTACTATTAGTGGGAATTACATTTGTCTACATATCTCTGTTGTGCCCACTGCAGCCAACTGCTTCTAATCCCTGCCATTTAAAATATTAAAGTTCTATATGATTGTTCCTTCAAGATGTCTCCTCTAATCTCTTCAATTACTTTCCCATGCTGTTGTTACTGGTTGCTGTTGAGTCAATTTTCACTCATGGTGATCCCATGTGTGTGGAATAGGACTGTATTCCATAGGGCTTTCAAGGCTATGATCTGTCAGAAGCAGATTGTGAAGTCTGTCTTCCCACATGCCTCTGTTATTGTTGTTGTTGTTAGGTGCTGCTGAGTTGGTATGGACTCAGCGATCCTAGGCACAAAAGAACAAAACACTGCCCAGTCCTGTGCCAACCTCACAGTCATTGCTACGCTTGAGCCCACTGCTGCTGCCACTGTGCCAATCCATCTCGTTGGGGATCTTTTTTTCTCTGACCAGCCATCTTATCAATCATGATATCCGTCTCCAGTGGTCCCTCCTGACAATATGTCTGAAGTATGAGAGACGAAGCTTGACCATCCTGGCCTCCAAGGAGCACTCTGGCTAAACTTCCTCCAACACAGATCTGTTGGTTCTTTTGGCAGCTCATGGAACTTTCAATATTCTCCTCCAACACCATAACTCAAATGCATCAATTCTTCTATGGTCTTCCTTATTCATTGTCCAGCTTTTGCATGCATATGAAGTTGTTGAAAATACCATGCCTTGGGTCAGGCGGACCTTAGTCCTCAAGCTGACATCTTTGAGGTTCAACACTTTAAAGAGGCCTTGTGCAGCAGATATGCCTAATGCAATATGTTGTCTGATATCTTGACTACTGCTTCTATAAGTGTTGATGGTTGATCTGAACAAAATCATCCTTTATTTATCTTGATGTTATTAATCCAGTTAAAGTAAAGTTCCCTTCACTTTTAGAAAGCAGGGTTTTATCATCTGCATATTGCAGGTTGTCCAAGAGTCTTCTTCCAACCTAATGCTACATTTTTCTTCATATGGTCCAACTTCTCAAATTATTTGCTCATTATACAGATTCAGTGAGTATGGTGAAAGAATACAACCCTGGTACACACCTTTCCCAACTTAAAACCATTCAGTGTTCCCTTGTTCTGTTCAAACAACTGCCTCTTGGTCTAGGTACAGGTTCTTTATAAGCACAATTAAGTGTTCCAGAATACTCATACTTCGCAATGTTGTCCATAGCTTGTCATGATCTGGGTGGGTTTAAACAAACTTAGTTTGTTAACCACTTGTGTCACCCAGAGTTTCCATTGCCAGTGCTGTGCCTTTTAGTAAAATCATTCTTGTAACAAATACTTGTTGAGCCATTACGCTGACCCATGTGCAGACTGTATCTCATTCTGCTTTGATCAGTACCTAACAGGGGACTCACTAGTTTTCCTCAAGAAATACTTAAAATATGTCCCTCATTTCATTACAAAGAATTGGTAACTGTTACAAAGAGAATTTTAGCCTGACTGAAAAAAATCTCTGCAATTTGATTTCAAACTTCAGTAGCAAGTTATGTATTCATATTTGCATATAAAAACCTTTCCTTTGATTACAAACTGCTAAAATGTATGTCTCATACAACTTTAATGCATCAAACTATCCACTGAAATGCAGGGCATGTAGTAGCCACCCAAATGCTTCCTGAGTATACCTTGCTTTACAAATTTGCTACTAGATCATTTAATTGTTTATATAGCTATTGTTGTTGTTAAGTGTCATCGAGTCAATCCTGACCCATAGCGACCCTGTATAGGGTTTCCAAGGAGCAGGTGGTGAGCTTGAACCACTGACATTGCAGTTCACACGACTTTGCAGTCTGACGCATTAGCCCACAGCACCACACCAGGACTATAAACAAAAAAGCAATCCATGGAAAAGAAAAAATCGAATTAAACAAATGAACTCGTACTGAGTTGGTGGCATAACACCATAGAGGACTCTATCAGTGGTCTTAGAGCACACAGTGTTCCAATCCAGTGTCTCTAGTGGGACACACCCTAACAGAACAAAGAACTACAAAAGTATCTTAATGAAATGATTTTCATGTTTTTGATGCTAGTGATGTGTGTAGCATTGGTACTAGAAAATTCTTTGAGAACAGAGGTTTATGGTCTTAGAGGAAGAAGTTTTTGTTGTTGTTGTTATGTGCCGTGGAGTCGGTTCCGACTCACAGCGACCCTGTACAGGGTTTCTGAGGCTGTAAATCTTTGCAGGAGCAGAAAGGCTCATCTTTCTCCCTTGGAACAGCTGGTAGTTTCGAACTGCTGACCCTGGGGTTCGCAGCCTGATTTGTAACCATTACGCTACCAGATCTCCTTAAATTTAATTGGTGATGTAAATATATAACCAGTTAGCAATTAAATGAGAAAGAATAAGATGTAGCGGCCCTGCTCAACTGCCCTCTGTGCCATGAAGCCTTCCAGGACCCTCTCTCTAATCTCTAGCACTCCCCATTCTTCCTTACCCTGGAATGTTTTATCCAGCTTCCTCTCAAGATGATGCTAGTTAGTCCAAAATTGCCTTTCTGGGAAAAACTAAATTGGGATTGTAGCTTATATAATAGAAATGTGTATAGAAATAAAATTCCCCCTTCCTCTTCCAAATCCATGCCAATTATGCTTTTTTTTTTTTTAAGGCAGATAAGTTCCATTTTACTTATATTAACAAGGAAGTCATTCAACCTGCATGTTCAAAATCTACCGCCTTCATGATTTTTAATGACTGTGAACCAGACTGATTTTTCACGACTCCTATTCATATCCCTTCTTGCACGTCTTGTTTTCTTAAGTGCCGCCAAGTTGGTTGCAACTCAAAGTGACCCATTGTACAACAGAACCAAACAGTGCCTGGTATCATGCCTTCCTCACAGTTACTCCTAGGGTTCAGGCCAGTGGTGCGCACGGCCACTGTGTCGGTATTCGCGCACTCTGTCAATATCTGATGGGGGGCTTGTTCTCTTCCATCATTCTTCTCTTTTAAAAACATTCTTTGATATTCTTGCTAGTTTATTTTTCAAGTGAACTTAGAGAAACCGTGTTGAGTTCTATATAAATTCTGTTGGTGTTATTCAATCTAAAAAGTTGGTGAAAACGGATTGAAGGCGAATAAGAGTCTCAGTCAGCACGAAGGTATATGTTATTGCCATCAAACTGCTCCCGACTCCTAGCGACCCTCTACAGGGTTTCTGAGGAGTGGCTGGTGACTCTGAACTGCCCCGATCTTGCAGTACAAATGATGTTGCAGTCCAGTGCTTATCCTATAGCACTACACCAGGACTCCACTGAGACATGTGATAGTAGTTATGTGCTGTGGGGTCGGTTCCAACTCAGTGACCCTGTATAGGATTTCTGAGGCTATACATCTTTATGGGAATAGACAGGCTCATCTTTCTTCTGTGGAAACGCTGGTAGTTTTGAACTGCTGACCTTGAGATTAACAGCCTGACTCGTAAGCACTACACTACACTATCAGAGCTGCTTCATTGAGGCATAGGTTTCTGTTTAAATTTTCTTTTAAACCACCCATGCAAACTGTCTTTATACTGACTATGCACATCCATTGTTAAGTGCATTCTCAGTATTTTATAACTGTATTGCTAATAAGAACCTCATAGGGTGGCTATTGGTTTTTGTGCACACCCATCAGCTGCTCCTGGGAAACCCTATACAGGGTCGCTAGGAGTCAGAACCAATTTGATGGCACTTAACAACAACAACTTTGTATCCATTAGTTTTATTCAACTTATACTAGTTTCAAAATAACTCTGGTGTTACTAAGCTATGTAATCATATCATTAGATAATATTAGTATTAATCTCTTTCTTTCCAAAAGCTAAAGTCCATTTGTTTTTAGTGTTTATTACACTGGCCATAACATTTGTTGTCATTAGGTGCCATCGAGTCAGTACTGACTCATAGTGACCTTATGCACAGCAGAACAAAACACTGCCCGATCCTGGGCCAACCTTACTAATGTTGCCACGCTTGAGTCCATCAATGCTGCCACTTGGCCAATCCTCATTGGGGGTCTTCCTCTTTTTCTCTGACCCTCCACCTTATCAAACATGATATCCATAACATCTAAATAAGGTGAAACGATGAGTGGTGATAGAACTCATCCTAATTTTGTCAACTCTCTTTATAAGGAATCATTCCAAGTCTTAGTGGTACCCATCTTTGAAGTACACTCTGTGCCTCTTAGATACATATTATGGGTATAACATAACCTTTTCTTGACAAGGAAGGTTAACATTATAGTTTCCTCATCTCAGAGTTAGGGATTTGCCTATATGAGTGGTTTTCATGAAGAGTTCCTTAGAGCCACAGTGGGGCAAGCAAGGAAATACTGAAGGACTGGGACTTAATACCAAACAGACCACATTTCATCTATTTTACATCTTTGGAAAACATTTTATGCTTTAAAAAGAGGGCAGTTGGGAAGCTTTAGATGAGAATCTAATCTAATCTTTAGCATTAGAAATTAGAGTTTAATCTAATCTAATCTAGATGCTTCTTAAAATCTATCTAATTAAAATTCTGTAACCAAGTTCAAATGATTTTTACTTTCCCAAAGTGACTTTTATAGTTTTTCTTGTTGGAAGTTGCCCTGGAGTTGACGCTGTCTCATGGTGAACCCATGTGTGCAGAGTGGAACTTGGTTTCATGGGGCTTTTAAGGTCTCTGTTTTTACTTGCCATTGAATCTATTTCAAATTGTTTAAAAAAAGAAAAGAAAAAGCAGACTAAAAACTGACACTGTCTGCTCTTATAAGGATTTACCATCTCAGAAACGCTACATAGGGGCACTATGTGTTAGAATTGACTCTGTGGCAGTGGGTTTGATAGATTAATTTGAAGAACATAAAAGAATTAGAAAGACCAGCAAGAGACTTCATCCCTAGAAGCAAGCACTTTATCTGGCATGTAGTAGATACTCAAGAAACATGCACTAGAAGACTGAAAGGAAATATACAATATCTCTACATGGGAGGAATGATAGGTCAAATCTGCTATTTAGTCATCTTTAGTCTTTCAGATTTTTTTTTACAATGAAAATATATTACTTTCATAGTCAAGGGGAAAAAAATTCTGCACCAAACTAAAGTTTCTCCTGACTAAGAACCTAGGTTTGTTGTCTTCCTTCTAGATATTATAATGATTTCTTTAACTCATTTCTCTAATCAGGAAACCCCTTTGCATTTAAACAATCAAAGAATGTTCCTTAAATATCCACATATTTCTGATACAAAGCTTTATTTTTCTTTTGCTCCAACACCTACAGTACTATGATATTTATACATTATCACGACTCAACTTTTTAGTTTGCCCCACAATACGTATCTGGTCTTAACGATCTTGGAAGAATCCAGTGGAATGCCCGCTTAGCTTCCTGCTTACTCAAGCACAGCTTACCTGTAGTCTCTGAGGCCTCTTAAAATATTTTAGCTCTCAAAGGCCTTTTTATTCTTATTCTGATAGCACTGAGATATTCCATGTTATTTAACATTTGATCACATAAGGTCACTTATTTTGTGTGTGACAAACTCAAGTCATCAATTAAGCCTGTTGATGTAAAGCTCCTTGATTTAAAGAATGCTGATTTATACTTATTTTGTTGTCTCCACTTTCTGCCTGGAGCTAGCTCAAAAGTAAGTGCCTTCGGGCATCCATTAAATACTTGCTAATTAAAAAAAAGACACTTGAAAACCAAATATCACTGGCTGCAGATAGCTAGCAATCAAGCTTTCTAATTTAGTTTTTCTGACTTTTCATGGCAAATTCCAAATTATCCTATATATTTCCATTTAAAAATAAATATTGCAAACACCATTGGGCAAGTAAGACATATGGCAATATAGAATGCTTTGGTAGCACTATGGCTGTGACTTAAATTACTGTGGATCAAACTGCCAGAAGCTGAGAAGATAACTGAATTTTCCTCTCCCTTTATTCTTTAGTGAGGAGAGAAGATAACTATATTATGCCTATCGATGAAAATATTTAACAATAAAAAACTGAAAACACTGCTTTATAACTTAAATAATATAGTCTTACTACCAAATGTTTTAGTCATAGGATCTCTTGGAAGCTTGAATGGAAGCAAACTTTAGGGTTTTAATTATGGATGAAGCCATACAATTCTGGAAGCAAAGTATAGCAAGCAGCCAAAAATGTTACACATACTATCTTCCTCCAAATGGGCACATTGGACAAATGGGGAAGTCCTGCACAGTCACAGACTTTGACCACCTCTTCCATCACCATCAAAGGGGATTTGGGAAATATGTTATCTAAGACTATAATTCTATGAGTTGACTGTTAGCCCCAGTAGGTCAAAATCAAATTATCTTTATCTTCATGATGTTAAATAGTTTAGAGTTGGAGTTTAATGCATTATGGTGACTTTATGGTCGGTTAGGATCACCCATCAGATGAAACAAGACAGAAGATAATAAGTTACATCTTCCATTTCTTATTTCTTGCACAGGTTGTTATTAGGTGACATAGAGTCGGTACCGACTTGTAGTGACCTTATGAACAACAGAACAAAACACTAATCTTGTGCCAATCTCACAAGTGTTGTTACAGTTGAGCCCCTTGTACAAGATGTCCTTAAAATCCTTTCTGTAATCAATTTTCTGGCCAATTGAACACATTTAGCTTATGAAGACTTTAGTTGTTGGTTTTTTTTTTTCATTGTTACGCATTAAAATCTACAGGCTTTTCATCCAAGTAAAATGGGTTTAAAATATATTGTTTCATTAATTCTATTATTCAGAACAAAAACTACATAAATCAAAATGAGGAAATTCATACTTTTGGAAGGTTGAGAAAATCTCTACACTAAACTCATGGAAACTTACATTTAGAAGATTACGGTTCCTTTTATAAGCAGCTTCCTCTGCTTGAATCTGAGATGCCTTTTCTGTGTTTTGAACTCCAAATTTATTCTCCATTTGTTGAAGTAACATTAATCTTTGTGATACTCTAGAAAAATTTTTTTTAAAGATTTCCGTCAATAAACTAGCAAACATTTATTGTTGCCCCTGTATAAAAAAAATTCTTAATTGTGCCATACTTTAGGTTCAACCTACTTTGAAAACCAATTAATCTCTCAGAAAGACAGGGTAAAAGAACTTACTCAGATGAACTATGTTTAAGAAGTCTTAAGTTAATGGGTAAAATTAATTTTCTTTTCATTTGCATATTCTTTATGTGTACTATAAGTACATGCCTCAGTTTTGTTTTGTTTTGTTTTATTTTTTTCTTTAAGCCTCTCTGGTCTTTTGAAATGATTCTAGGGTGTTGAAGATACGATTTAACTTTTGGTGAAAATGCAAACTGTAATACATATCCCTTTGTACACATACTTATATATACCTCCCCACACATATACATTGATATAACTTGCTATACGAAACCTTCTGCTTAACACTTCAGTACCCCTGAATCTCATGTTACACATTTAGAATTGTGCTAAACTTCCATATGTTTGAAGAAGCAATAAAAAATATTTTTCTTCTTTTTGCAAGAGAAAGATGATGGTTGGCTATATGAGTGAGAGGCTGCGTCTATGTATGCAGACTCAAAACAAGGTGAAACAGTAATTGAAGAAAGATGTAAAAAGTTAAATGCTACTGTCAAATTACTTTGTTATATATAATATACAATAAAAGTTTCTCACGACTCGATTTTGATCCTCTTAAATGAGTAATAAAAAGAGTCACATGATAAAAATATGTAAATGATATAGTTAACAGTCTACCCGTATTTGTCAAACTATTTTGGCGGCTTTCAGGAAACACTGTCTTATAAGGTTGTTCTAGAAGGTGGACATAAAAACTCAGGTCTTTAAACACTAATACTTGTAAGGGAACATCTTAGAAGGCCAAGGAAGAGGACCTAGTAATTAATTAAAGAAAAGGAAAACATGAGATCCCACAGGCAGAAGTAGAGAAGGGAAAGGTTATTAAATGTAAGAGCAGGACTGGCTAAAAAAATTGTAGGGCTCGGCGCCAAATGAAAATTGGGTGGGGTTGGGGAGGGAGGATATATTCTTACTGAGTCAAGTGCCAGACCTGTCACTCCACAGATCACACTTCTATGAAGCAGCCCTGAGTAAAAGCCAAGAAAAATTAATGTGGATCTTAGGAATGGGTGGGGTGCATTAATCGAGATATTAATGATAAAAAGTAAACTGATGTACAGTTGACCCTTGAACAACATGAGTTTGAACAGTGCAGATCCATTTATACAGAGATTTTTTAAAAAATACCATGTGACGCAAATCATCTTCTTGTGGTCTCTCTGGTTGGTACTGTAGTAAAAAGTGACCTCTTAAGGTTCTTGCGTACTTTTCATAATGTTGCTGCAATGCTGCCAATGTGGAATAACACCATGAGGCCCATAGAAAGTGCCACTAGTGATGCTGGAAGTGCTCCCAGTAAGCAGAGGAACGTTACGACATTGCAAGAAAAAGGTGAATTGTTTGATATGTACCAGACATCGAGATCAGCAGCTGCAGTTGCCCAACATTTCAAGATAAATGAATCCAATGTAAGGACCATTACATAAAAGAAAAGGAAATTGTAAAACTGTCCCTGCAGCTACATCAGCAGGTTAAAAAACCTTACATTTTCTAGAAAATACCTTTTTATCTTGTATTGAAAATGCAGCTTTTATGTAGGTTCAGTATAGACAACATACTGTTAAGTGCTGTTGTTTCGGTTCTGACTCACAGCCACCCTATATAGGGTTTCCGAGGAATGGCTCATGAGTTTGAACCACCAACCTTGTGGTTAGTATTCCAGTGCTTATCCCATAGCACCAAACCAGGTCTCCATATAATACATGGTTGTTGTTATGTGTCATCAAGTCGGTTCCAACTCATAGAGACACTGTATATGGTTTCCAATACATAAAATACCCAAAATAGGTGTTAATTGATGCTTATGTTCCTGGTGTGGCACTGTGGGTTAATGCAAAGTCAGTTTGAACAGCAAGGTCAGCGGTTCAAGCTCACCAGCCACACCTTGGAAACTCTATATAGGGTCGCTATGGGTCAGAACCCACTTGACAGCCTTTAACAACATGTTGTCAGAAAGACTTCCTGTCAACAGTAGGAAATTTTTAACTAAGTTCAGTTTGTGAGAAGTCAAAAGTTAAATGCAGACAGGTGGATTTTTCAACTGCTAGGTAGGTCAGCATCCCTGTTGCCACTGCAGTGTTCAAGGGACAACTGTACAAGACAATTTTACCTTTTAATCTTTGTTATTTTAAAAGACAGTAACATTCCTGATACCAAATTATTAACTCAAGGGTCAGAAAATTAAAACAATGCAAACACTTCCGGTTTTAAATCTTACTATGCACACAGTGTTTCACTGGAAAAGCCAGTACCATTTATATATATATAAAGAGTATCCTGAAAAGAAAAATGGTACACTTACATTTCTTCATGTTTTTTAGAAAGGCGAATTTCTTGTGCAAAAACGGAGGTCATCTTTAATCAAAGGAGTTACAAGTTTTCTGCTAAGTAATAAAAACATTTAAAGTTACTTCTACCATGTGTCCTCAGCTTTGCAACATTCAACAGTTTTAGTACCTCAACCCACAGCTTCTCTCAGAAGAGAAAATAAAACTTAAGATGTACTAATGTATAAAACGAAAGAATGCATTTAAAAACATTTTCATTCACCATACATAGCCACATGCATTCCAGAACACTGAATTAGGTAAATTCAACATATTCCATGCTTCCCCTTCTTTTTTCCACACTCTTAACCTTATCAGAATGCAAAACAAATAAGCAGTTGGTACTAACACTAGTAAACACTTTATTGAACCAACAGAAAAAAAAAAATTCCACTCATGAAATTCAACACTGGAAAACCAGCCCTTATGCATGTGCACGCACATACACACACACACACACACACTTACATAGCAAAGCAAACAAGTACTAGAACCAACTGGAAACTCATGGTCTTTCCTTTATTGGAAGACTGCCCAGTTATACCATCTCTCTTATAAACAGAGAAGTATTTTTCAAGTGTAACGGTGGAGGAACACAATTAGTCCCTTCACTTCATTTTTGCCATTCAGCACTTCCTTCCATTTGGAGAGTTTATTGTTAATGGTGAGTGCCAGGAGTTTGTTCTGACTCACAGAGACCCTGTAGAGGGTTTCCAAGACTGCAAATCTATGCAGGAGCAGAAAACCTCATTTTTCTCCTGAGGAGCAAGCTAGTGGGCTCGGACCGCCGACCTTTTGTTTCACAGTCCAGTACTTATTGTACCGAGCCACTGCACTCACTTGGGGAGTTTATTACGTGTCATAGATTCGGTTCCGACTCACAGAGACCCTGTATAGAGTCTTTGTGAGTGACTGTTGTTAAGTGCTTGAGTGGGTTCTGACCCATAGTTACCCTGTATAGGGTTTCCTAGGAGCGGCTGGTGAGCTTGAACCACCGATCTTGAGGATCAAGCCGACTTTGCATTTCAACGCAGTAACCTCACAGCACTTCACCAGGACTACATGATTGGTGTTTGGGAAACGCAATTTTCATGGCAAACTACACCTTGTGCAAGTTCACCTTGGCTGAGTAAGTTCACCTTCGCTAGATAGAGGTCCAGCAAAATGCTTGGAGGGCCCTGAGCCCCCCGGGGTTCAAAAGCTGAAGGAGCCTGTCTTAAGGGAGCAACAGGAGGATGAAGTTCCAGCCTACAATGATGCATTGTTGTTGTGTGCTATCGAGTTGGTTCCAACTCACAGCGACCCTGTATAGGGTTTCTGAGAAGCCACAGGTGAGTTTGAACCACTGACTTTACTTACAGTTAAGCTGACCCTGAGGTCGAGTGCTTAGCATATGGCACCATACCAGGACTCCAATGATGCATTGTTGTTAAGTGTCGTAGAGTCGGTGCCAACCCATAGCGACCCTGTATAGTGTTTCCAAGGAGCGACTGGTGAGCTTGAACCACCGACCTGTGGTTCAAACCGACTTCGCAGTCCAGTGCTTAACTTGTCTATATTTTATGAAATTAGACATAACTCTGTCCCATACTGTAAAATGGATTTGTTCAGCACCGAGGACAGCAATCACCCCAAGGCTTGCAGCCAGAGGTCTATTTGCGTATCTTTCTTGCTAAAATCGCTGCAGGCCAATCCCTGAGGACTGCTTCCTGATTTCGTTGTACACGGAAGTCAGGGAAATCCCAGGAAGTCAAGGACTAACAACGTTAACTTTTTTGTCACCCCTGCCATCAGCACTTCAGACAAACCCCAAGACAAAATCTGCCTTGTGAACCGAAGCCAGCGGAATCCGCACCTGAGTCTTTAGTTCTCCGACCTCCAATTCAGACTCGACAGACTGACTGCTTGAAATCCCTTCACCATCACTACATATTTCCCTGAACAAAATTTCCCACCAGGGGTGCAGGCACCCGCCCCGCCATCCAACAGCACCTATCCTTAACGCCGTCCTGCTAGAGTTACCAAGCCCTCCCCAGGACTCTTCAAAGAAAGAGCCCGAGACCTACTGGGGCTGTGGTCTCCGCGCAGGCCTGGGGCGTAACGCGCCAACATCTTTGCGCATGCGCGATACGAGGTGACGTCACCGCGTCTATATTAAAAAAAAAAAACAAAAAACCGGGCGGCCACCGTGGGCTGCCCAGGAGGTCTCGGTACTCTCTGACTGCTGGAACCTGAACGTAAATGAGAGTAACCTTATCAGCGTTAGTACCAGCTCCTGGGGGGAAATCGTATGATGATAACTCGATTTTAGGACATTTTAAAGAGGGACGTGCATTTGTTTACAGGGCTGCAGAGAGTGAAACTAGTGTAAACACTGAAATGTCACAGTAGTATGTTTGCTGTAGGGAGTTAACTCTTAACGCAATCCAGAGTTTGAACGGAGTTCATCAAATATTTAGCAAAGATCTTTCGAGGCCTGCGGGCTGAGCAAAGCAGGTAAGCCCTTGCCTTCGCAGAGTTTGCAGCTCCCGTAGGGAAAATTGTGATTTGTTCACATTTTGAGGATTTTCTACAGCAGTCGCAGTATTTGCTTGGACGATCTCGTTGAATCCCCACAACACCCTGTAAAATAGGTAAATAGGTACCATTATTCTCATTTGACCGACGTGGGAATCAACTTGACTGTTAATTTGTCCAAGATTGCAGTGTGAAACTAGCAGAACTTTTACAAAAATTTTCACAGCCCGTAGAACACACGCTTGGTGATAATCCCTTAGAGCCATGAAAAGTGTTCTTACACGTTGTGGTATTTATTTCTTGAAATATCTCTGTGAGAAACGTGATACTATCGAATCTTAATTTACAGAGGAAGAAATGAGGCTCAAGAGAAGCAGTGTTCTTCAAAGTCAGCTAGTAAAGGGTAAAGAGCGAGAACTCTGATCCAGGTGTTTTAAATTTTTTTCTCTAGAAAATTTGCATGAAGTTTGACTTCGTTCCTGCTTCACAATTATTGCAGATAATGTTTCCTTTACCTGGAAACTCCCTGCCTATGATCCCTAAGAAGCTTTGTTCTTCATGTCCTTCAGTGCTACATCTTCAAAGAAGCATTCCCTGAACCCCCAAGGTAGGCTCACAACCCTAACCCCTTGGCTCTGTAACTTATGTTTTAATTTTCTCCACAACACAGCACCATACCACATATTGTATAGTTCATTGTTTGTCTACCAGTGCCCCTCGCCCCCACTGTTTTAAAATTTAAACTTCATAAATAACAAATATTTTTCTTTTATTTGCTGTTGTATCCTCAGCAACTAGAACTGCCTGACATGTAAGCACTTAGTAAATATTTGAAATGAAGTAATTCACCCCCATTGAAATTCCATTATAATTTAAGAGAGCTCTGTCTTTCATTGATAAGACCCTTGAGTTGGCTGTTCCATATTTTTTACAGCTTAATATAGAAAAAAAATAAGACTCTGTAATGATCCTGAGTTCTAAGAATGAAATAGAATGTTTTCATGGTTACAAGGTATATACATTCTTATTTATCTTTTATGTCAGTTTACAAAGAGGGTTGTTTCCTAGGTTGTAACTGACTCAATAGAGACTTGGGAGACCTGACATTAAAGCATTTGTAAGTGTGCTTATGACATAGTTAGGATGGACCCAGTTCTTTCTACCTGGAGCGTGATGGGGACAGCCTTTACAGAGCCTGTGTTTTTTGGTTCATCGTCTATCTCAGTGCAATTATCCCCTTACCTTCGTTTCTTTCAAAGTATTGTGTCATTTAGTCATAAATCTGTAAAGATGCAATTTTTTAAACACTTGTAAGATGTAGTCTCCGCCTTCAAGAATTAGAATCTGGCTAGGGTCTTACGGTGGAAACAGCGAGCTAGGGAATGATGGGTAATAATAGAAAATGGCTAATAAAACTCAACTGAGTCTACAGCGCCTAACAACACGCTTGATGAATGCTTTTTTGGTACCAGGCACTTTGCATAAATTATCTCATCTAACTCACCTGATCCTACTCATGTAGGATAAGTAAGCACTGAACTGCTAATCACAAGGTTAGTGGTCCAAACCTACCAACTGCTCCTGAGAAACCTTATACAGCATCCCCGAGTGAGAACCAGCTTGACAGCACACAATAATCCTCATGACAACCCTATGAGAATGGATGCTTAAACTGTTACTTGATCCATTTTTATAGCTGAGGAAATTGAGGCTTAGAGAAATGACTTACTGAAGGTCACACTGCTAGTAAACGAACTCCAGCCTGTTTGCTCTGGCTTCCAGTACTCTAATTAGGTATACTGTTTTGACATTGTCCTGGCGTGGCACTGTAGGATAAGCACTGAACTGTTCAAACCCACCAGCCACTCCTTGAAGTCCTATACAGGGTTGTATGAGTTGTAACTGACTTGACAGCACTTAACAGCAAAAACAACATATTAAATGTTTGTAATGTAAATACTTGAAGCCGACTGCAAGGGGTCTAATGAAGAGTTAGCGCCGTCAGCTGGACTACTCAGACAGCATTTTGGAAGATTGAGGTGGTCTTTGAAAGATGGGAGGTCTGTTTTTGTGCCTGAATACACAAGTGACAGGATACATAGGCATGTCCTCCGTGAAAGAAACTGTGTAGAAGTGTGTGCATGAGACTACTTCTGGGGTCTGGGGGCTTGTGAGAAGGTAGCATTGAGAAAAATATTTTCTCCAATTTTGAAGGTGTTATATCGAGTGTTAGAAAATTTGGAAGTGAACAATAATAAAGAGGAGCTAAAGGAAAAGGTGAGACTAGTAAGTAGAGAGCATAATGGAGAACAGGACAGAAAAGTATGAAGATGGATGGAGTAAGACAAAACGAAAAGAGCTGCAGTGTCATCAGCTATTTTAAAGATTCCAAAGTACTGAAAGTAGTCCCTGTAAACAGATTTCCCTTGTTATTGTTGTTAGGTGCCATTGAGTTGGTACTGACTCACAGCAACCTTATGCACAACAGAACAAAACACTGCCCGTTCCTGGGCCGAC